ATATGGAATTTTATCGTATTTTGTGAAAATATATTCCATAATTTCTCTCCTACTAAAAACTATCCTCTTAATATTATGCCTGCAAATATTTTTCATTTTGTGTTTTTACAAGTTCGTTTTTATTTCTTGATGTCTGAACAGCAATTGTTTTCCTCTGAATAAGTTTTATTATTTTGCTGAAATTGTTTTAATTGATTTATTGTTATAGCTACATGAAGTTATTGACTGAGTTAAGAAACAAGAGAGCAGCAACACAAATTATGGAATAGACAAATGAGCCGCGTCATGACAAAACCAAAATAATGGGTTTGCGACCAGCATGGATCCAGACCAGCCTGCGCATCCGCGCAGTCTGATCAGGATCCATGCTGTTCGCTTACAAACCCTATAACAAGTAGAGAAACTGATAGCGAACAGCATGGATCATGATCAGACTGCGCGGATGCGCAGGCTGGTCTGGATCCATGCTGGTCGCAAACCCATTATGTTGGTTTTGTCATGACGCGGCTCAAATTGTTGCAGTAGTGAAAATATTGAATTTGTGTCAGTCTTTAATAATGCAAGAGCTACAGTACAATCTCTGCTGAGCAACACCATCTTGGAGATAAAAGTATTTGTTTTGTTTTTATTTTGAAGATGATGGTCTTTAAAGCTGCATGCCTCCAGATGAGCCAAACTAAATTAAGAAAATATACATATATAATGTTACAATGTTGTTGTAAAGAGGTCACAGTATATTACTCTATACAGAGGGCCACTATAAAGAGATTGCAAAATATCACGTGTTATTTTTATAAAAATCTCAACATTACTAATTATGATTACCTCAACATTACCAATGTGGTGATCAAAATTATAGTTTAAATTTTAAGATATATGCTACTTTGTTGCCTACAAATGTAGTTGTATCCAGAGTTGTATTCAAGTGCATTGTCTTGATCAGAGATTTCATTTTAAACTTGTGTGATTTAAATCTGGGACATTTTTTGTTTTCATCTTCTGTTTTAGTTGGGTTTTAAGTGACACAGCACATCTTCTGTATAGGGCATACAGATTTCTACCTTTAATTAGTGGAGATAAATCCCATGATGTGCCTCTTAATAGTGCATAATATTTTCTCATCTAATTTGAACCACGGCCAGCTTTGTCGTAAAAAATAAATTCCAACGTCTTTGGTGGGATTCAAGCACATAACAGTTACAACAGCAACAAGCCCATACTTAATTTCCCTTTTATAGAAGCCTCACTCAGATGCCATTAACATTATTCTTAAGTATCCTTCAGTTTTACCCTAAAATTTAAATAACATGTTATAAAGCTCTATTTTCCCCTTTAGCAAACATTATTTTATTACATTATTTTATTTAAGTCCATTGGTTGTTAGATTTGTGTATGTTTACAACTTGAGAGGTAAGCAGGAGTTGGGCAACAAGGGTCAACAATCCCTGTTCTCTTCAAGGATTTAAACCCAAACTTTCACAGAGCTATTTTCACCAGTTAGACAGTTTTGTGATTTCATAATTTTATGCATAGTTATGACCCTATGTAGTTTTGTGACATTTTGTCCTGTCACATGTGTTTTTAGCTCACCTGTCACAAAGTGACAGGGTGAGCTTTTGTGATCGCTTTTCGTCCGTTTTCCGTCCGTCGTCCGTAAACTTTTACTTTAAATGAAATCTCCTCATAAACCACTAAGCCAATTTCATCCAAACTTCACAGGAATGTTCCTTTGGTGGTTACCTTTGAAAATTGTTCAAAGAATTTAATTCCATGCAGAACTCTGGTTGCCATGGCAACCAAAAGAAAAAACTTAAAATATCTTCTTCTAAAAATCAAAAGAGCTAGAGCTTAGATTTTTGGCATGAAACATCTTCTGGTGAGTGTCTACCAAGTTTGTTAAAAAAAAAGCCCTTGGGTCAAAATTGGCCCCGCCCCAGTGCCCCAGGGGGTCATTGATTTTCCCTATATGCATATGGTAAAAACTTAAAAAATCTTCTTTTAAAGAACCCAAAGAGCTGGAGCTTTGATATTCAGCATGAAACATCTTCTAATCGGTGTCTACCAAGTTTGTTCAAATAAAAGCCCTGGGGTCAAAATTGGCCCCGCCCCAGGGGGTCATTGATTTTCCCTATATGCATATAGTAAAAACTTAAAAAATCTTCTTTTAAAGAATCCAAAGAGCTAGAGCTAAGATATTTAGCATGAAACATCTTCTAATGGATGTCTACCAAGTTTGTTCAAATAGAAGCCCCAGGGTCAAAATTGGCCCCGCCCCAGGGGGTCATTGATTTTCCCTATATACATAATATATTAGTAAAAAGTTAAAAAAATCTTCTTTTAAAGAACCAAAAGAGCTAGAGCTAAGATATTTAGCATGAAACATCTTCTAATGGATGTCTACCAAGTTTGTTCAAATAAAAGCCCTGGGACAAAGTTGGCCCCACCCCAGGGGGTCATTGATTTCCCATATATACATATAGTAAAAACTTAAAAATCTTCTTTTAAAGAACCCAAAGAGCTAGAGCTAAGATATTTAGCATGAAACATCTTCTAATAGGTGTCTACCAAGTTTGTTCAAATAAAAGCCCTGGGGTCAAAATTTGCCCGGCCCTGGGGGTCATTGATTTTCCAAATTTCCTTATATTTGTATAGGAAAAAATTTAAAAAATCTTCTTTGGAAAAAACCAAATAGCTAGAGTTTAGATATTAAGCATGAAACATCTTCTAGTGATTGTCTACAAAGTTTGTTCAAATAAAAGCCCTGGGGTCAAAATTGGCCCCACCCCGGAGGTCATTCATTTTCCCTATACATGTATGTGTAAAACTATAGCAAAAATTGAAAAATCTTCTTTGAAAAAACTCAAATAGCTAGAGTTTAGATATTAAGCACGAAGCATCTTCTAGTTAGTGTCTTCAAAGTTTGTTCAAATAAAAGCCCTGGAGTCAAAATTGGCCCCGCCCCGGGGGACATTGAATTTCCTTATACAAGTATAGCAAAAACTTAAAAATCTTCTTTGAAAAAACCCGAATAGCTTAGGAGTTTAGATATTAAGCATGAAACATTTTCTAGTAAATGTCTACAAAGATTGTTCAAATAAAAGCCCTGGGGTCAAAACTGGCCCTGCCCCAGGTATGTCATATATGTGTAAAGAAAAAACTTAAAAAAATCTTCTTTTAAAAATCCCAAGGAGCTAGACCTTAGATGTTTGAAACATCTTCTAATGGTTGTCTACAAAGTTTGTTTAAATTAAAGCCCCGGGCTTTAAACTGGCCCCGCTCCGGGGGCCTATGTACAGGTGAGCGACTTTAGGGCCATCATGGCCCTCTTGTTTACTAGTTTGATTTATTTATTGATTGGACAAGATGTTTATCATTTATAAAATATAGTTACATTATAATATACCTCGAATTTTTGCAGAATGAGATATTAGGATAATTCATAGCTAAGAATGAGATATAGAATGAGATAGTGATACAGAATGAGATATAAAATGAGATATAAATTGTCATTACTTTATGTTTTAACACCGTTCCGTCAGTTATAATTAGAATTGTTTTAATAATAATAATATCTTAATTTAAAGAAGGTTACACATTAAGAACATACAATAACAATCATATATATCTTATTTCCAATGCGGCCTTCTGAAATAAACAACAACAACAACAGGACATGCATAGGTAGAAAAATGAATGTATGATATCTAATTTTTAGAATAAGAAAACTCATATAACATACGACAGACACTCAACAATTTGTTTAAACATATACGTATATTGCATCATTCGTTTTAAATGTCAACATCTTGTTCTGATTATTTATAGATAACCTGATGTTGATATCTTCATTTTATTTTGATATCGTCACCTTAGTGCAGTAACTGGTTAACTCCTTCTTTAAATGTAATACAAGTTAACCAGTTATTGTACTATATAAAGGTGATGATATACATGTAGCAAATTCTTTGTAACAATTAAATAGACAGCATGTAGTTGTGAATGATAATTAATATGTTTTAATTAAGTGGACAGCGGTCATCTCATAACAATTATTTCTTGACAGTGACATTATCTGTTGACAAATCTAGTCATTTTATGATATGCCATAATTTCATTAAAGGGACTTTACTAATAAACTTAGGTTTCTTGACATGACTGGACTCTTCTTTATGAGATTTATGTACCATTTTATATAAGTCTAAACGAAAAACTTGTTTGTAAACTAAGATTATCCCGTCTTACCCATTTTCAAGAATACACTTGTTATAGTTTTATACATGTATATAAAGAAAGATAAAAAACGTTTGCACTTAATATTGTTTTTCAATGTAATTCTTAGTATGTTTTGTTATTTATCTGTCAGTTTCAGACTTTTCCATTTTAAGTGCTACTCTTGATTCATTTACAAATTTTATGCTTTAAGGCCTTTTCAGACCTGAGTGGAGCTCCTTTAAAAATCTAATAAGGATTCAAGAGCTGACTGTAATCTTTATTTTGTGTGAAAAAAGAAAGTTTGACAGCGTAATTATTTATGAATCATGATGCATTTCATTTCTACAGAATTACCTCCCTTTCATATTGCCGGTGCATACAATGTCATATACAATGTGTGAATATATAAAAAGATTATTCTGTTTTGTAATTTTTTAAGCAGAAGACAGAACAAATTTTCATTTACTCAATTTACTGGCATGATTATTATTAATATTAAAATAAACTGTCTCATAAAAATTTTACATAACGGTTGATCTATTTTATAGAATGAAATAATTCACTTTACCTGTATCGTTATTTTGAGTTCTTACAGATACTTTTAGTTGCTTCCTGTGAGTAAGCTGTCCAGCTAGCGAATGGAACATAATATAACTTGTAGTTTCTATACTTGGTGTCAACTTCTGTATGAAATATTATGAAAAAGATGCACTTTAAATCTTCTTCCATCATTAAGTTTAAAAATGTCACTTGACAGCCTTACATATTCAATGCCGTTAATATTTCAGTGCCTGACACCGGAAGATGTCTACCAGTTATCTGGTCTGGCGGAACAGACGACGGAAAAGGAAGTGTCGACTGTCGCGATGATGTTAGTACATTTAATGGAGAATAAGACGTGTGGCTATGAAGGATTTGAAAATAAAGACGAGATCATTCATCAAGCAAAACCTTCGTCTGCTGAAGGTAATACATGTATTTGAATGTTTTTGAGTTTAGTGCATAGAATTAATATTTGGGACTTTTTTATGATTTACTCAACAAATTATCATTGCTTTAGCATGACACAAACAGAATTTCTGTTGCAATTACATGTTGTAGTTCCATCCCATTTGCTTTTTTGATCTGATTATTTAACTCTGACATATTTATAAAGGCTTTTACATGGCAGTTTTATTAATGCTCTAACACTGCAGTTGTGGCAAATTTTAAGGCGACTGCAATACAGTTGCTAAAAATGTGACTTTCACTGGAATATGAATTTTGATAAACTTTAAATTTGAACTTTTAATTAGAATATTAAAACTTTGGTATGAAACAAACCCATTTTCTGTGTCTGATGTTACAAGTTTGTACAAACAATATGGAGCATTTTAGACCTGGTGAACCACATTGTAATTGTACAAGTCAAGATATTGTAAAAATCTATGTAAGGGCATTAACTCTGCCTTTTAACGTTGTGTAAAACTTTTCATGTCATGTTAGTTGTTTGTTTGAATATACTTTAGTCTGATGAAGGTGTAAACTTCAACAGTTTTGCTAGTAAGTCAAAAACAAGTTATATTCAAGTGTTGTTGTTGATCTTTCTACCAATAGTGCATTTAGATATTGATGAAAAACTTAAGTCAGATCTTGATCATATTGTAAATGATAACAACAATGACAAAATTAATGAATTAAGAGTTGTAACTGATTCAGATAATATTTTGTTGTAATACAGCATGGGGATTTGGAATTCTGTGTACAACAATAATCAGTCTGTGCTCTCTCGGAGGACTTATAGCACTGCCATTCGTACACGGTATCAATTACAAGAAGATACTGATCTACATGGTGGGTCTTGCTGTGGGGACCCTGGCTGGAAGCAGTTTACTGTTCCTTATACCAGAGGTAAAGTCGTTTATAACAAGTATCTGTGTTACAACACTTTATTTGGACATTTTTACAGTCTTGACAAAACGATTCACCATTTTTAGGGAAAATTTTTCAGAATAGATCCGACAGCTTGGATGTGCCGGATAATCTTGGTCTGCACTAACATGCCAACAGTCATGTAAAAGCTAAGGGCTTTAGAATAAAGGTTACTGCATGTCTTTAAATGAGTAAAAAAAAATTGAAAAGATTTCAGTAATTTTCAAGAATTGTATAGGCACTTCCATTCCAAAATTAATGTTATTTTTGCATATTTAGTAAAAAATATGACAAAATTTTCTATTTCGATACCTTTACCTCAACTCCTTACAACAATGCTGGAAATTGACTCAAATTGTCTCAAAATGTAATTGACAGAACTAGTGTAAAATCAGCTTAAGTTATTATTCTGCAGGGTCCAAGAGTTGAAAAAGCACCTTTTCATATTTCAGGTTAGGGAAGATTGAACAGTTCAATTAGTTGATGTTTTTATATTTCTCTCCCTGGAATTGACTGAAATACAGTAAAATGAGCATAATTTAAATTTCAGGCCCTGGAATTGACAGAAATATAGTTAAATGAGCATAATTTAAATTTCAGGCCCTGGAATTGACAGAAATATAGTAAAATGAGCATAACTTTAAATTTCAGGCCCTGGAATTGACAGAACAAGAGTTAAACGAGCACAGTTATGTTTGGAAATGTTTGGTTATGATCAGTGGTATATACCTGTTCTTCATTATTGAAAGAGTCCTTAAAATCATCACTAGAATGAGAGAGGTACGTTTAACATGTCTGAATGTGTTATATTCCTTTTAACGTAAACTATGTTTAAAAACAATATTAAGGAGACCGCCAAATTTATATAGATATATCTGGATATCGTTATATTCAAGAGGCAACCAATTTGAAAACAAAAGTCAGGACTGAGGCACAGCATGGTTGTATGCTAAAAATGTATCATTACAAGCAATATTGTTATAAGTGTAGTTTCCTGACAAAAATACAGTCATTTTTCCGTGGATGTTTTACCTGCATCTAGATAAAAAAATAAATTATTTAACACTACGTATTGCTTGAGACATAATTTCATGCAAAACCTGCCAACTTAGGTTAGTTTAGTTAAAATTCATACAGACTTGTTTTAGTTTGATTGTGTTGGAAGCTATAAGGTTATTGAAACACTCTAGAATCCGTTCCTGGAACCAACCAGTACTAAGCAATGAATGTAAAATTTCTTGATTAAGGAATCAATGGTTTGCCCTGAAAGGGTTTGAATCCATGAGGTCAGGAATCCTTAGATTACTAGTCTAACATGCTATCCACTCGGTCACACCCAGCCTAGCTTAATAGGAAAAGCATTGGATTTTAGTTCAGGAGTTGCATATTATATTGATAGTATCCTTAACAATTGACCTTTAACCTCGAGTCTCATTGCCTTGTGTTCCTCGACCCCCTGATTCAGATTAGTATCAGTAGTCATTCACTTGTGGAGAAGTTGTTAATCATCATTTGAAATGCTATTCATTCATAAATGATTGTTCTTGTTATAGAGAAAGGAAGGCTTTCATTTTGGTAGATACGTAGGTATTTTCCCCCTGATTGTAAAAAAGTAACAGTTTTTTCATTACTTACATCAGCATCATTGCACAGTTCTCATAATTATTGTAGCTTAAAATAGGAACAAGAAAAGAGGCATATTTCGAAAAGTCCACCCCATTTCACATCTTGTGAGTTTTAAAGTCGCATGCCTCCAGATGAACCGAAATGTATTTTAAGAAAATCAAACTAGATAAAATTGTACAAAGATTTTGAGAAAAGTAAAAGGATTCAAGTAATAATTTACATGTTATCTGTGATTAATGCCTGATTTTGCAGTATTTATCACCAAATTTCTACTGCCTGACCAACACAGTAAGGGCTATTCTTCCATATTTTGACCTCATTTTAATAATTTACGTGGAGTGTAAGAGCTGTTTCAATTTGTAAATTACATTCTTTTTCACAAAATACAATTTTACATTTTCATGAAAATAAGCATGAGTCTGGGGGCATGCTGCTTTAATGATTTTATGACACAGACTTAAATCACAACCCAGAAATAAGAAGTTCCCCATACTAATTTATATATTTTCTAATGCTAACCTTCTACTTCATACAAAGAACAATATCTATAAAAATCAACAACAATAATAACCAAATAATGTGATTTATTATATTGTTATTTATTTGGTCAGAAAAAAAATTGTCGAAAATTTGGCAATTTATTTTAATAAATTTTGTTTCAAACAAAAAAAAAATGCAAGTTACATTTTGTTCTGAAGATTTCAAAGGCATAATTTTACTAGTTCATTTGAATATTTTTTTTTATTCTAAGATACAATTCAAAGTTGTAATTGTCTCCAATCTTTAAAATTGTCAAAAATCAAATTAATATAAATATTTGAATAGTGTAAGAATATTAGTGTAAGAAATATATTAATATTTGCAATTGCATGTTTATATAATGCAAAACATGACTAAAGGATATTTATTGTACCTATTATAAGTCGAAATGCAAATTAATGTCTCCCACTTTATTAGCATATTGGAAAAATATGGTAATTTTTTTCTTCTTTTTTCTTTTACGGGTTTAAAATTTAAGTTAAAACAAGATAAAAACAAACAAACAGAACACATGTTGACTTATAGGTACAGTACTTGTTTTATACAAGATATTGCTTGAATTAAATGATGTTTTAAGTGTGTTTGAACGGCATTTCTTTTGAAATAAGGGCTGTTAGATTTGTACATATTTTGCACATGTGACACAAGTTTTACCAAAGAAACAAAATTGAAATTATTTTTTTTTAAAGATATTAAATCTTGAGACATGCTCCTTTATGGTAGACAGTAACCGTAAACAAATATTTACTTCGTATTTTTCTTTTCAGAAAACAAAACAAGACAAAAAGTTACATCATGAGATCCAGCCGGGAAGATTTGCGTCATTTCACGAGGCAGCACCAGAACCGGAGTACCGTGACCTTGACACGCTGCCCCATATTTCACCTTGTGGCGACAATATTTCCAGGGATGAAGACTCGCAATCTAATCATTCTAGAAATGATGTCACAACAAAAGTAAGTGGTATCTTTTATATTTCACTTGAAAATCATAACTGTCTAGGGGTGGGGGGGGGGGGAGTGCAAAATTTCAACTTTTTATGTGACATCATTCTTTCTTTGGTTTTACTTGTAGTCAATTTTTCAATGGAAATTTATGTCATTACACCCGTAACTACATGTTTTTTCTCACTGAAGTATATGAAATTACAACTTCATTCAACTACGAAATTGCATCATTCAAAGCATGCTATTTTATAACATGTGACTCATCTGGCACCCCATAGCAGATAAGTTTCTGGCATGGGTAAAACTAACGGAAACACCAGTCTGATATGCAAGAATGTGTTATTCCAGATAGGATATTGTGTTGCGATCCTCCATTATATCAAGACTGACTAACAACCAAAATGGCTCACAGCCCGCGGAGGAAGTTATTTAGCTTTGGTATTTTGACTTGCCAAAACTTTTTAGCATTAATAGACAAATATTTTTCGCTGTACTGGCATGCGAGCAGTTCCCGTACAAAAATCATAGTTACTTAATCACTATTTTTTATTACGCTCACTCACCAATATTTGAATGTTACACATCAATATTCGGCTCGTCACTCAAATCATGGAAATTCCATCATGTTCTAAACATAGAATAACCCTTACTTATGAGGCCTCATATGGGGTACCGAAATTATCCATTATTTTGTATGAAGAGAAGTAGTTCCCGTACATAAAATCTAACCCATTATAATTATACAATTTTATTATATCGGACCTATTTTTCATTTACAATTGTTGAACAGACCATTATCTAAGAGATAAATAGATGTAATTCAGGAAATAGAGCGTAGACTAAACGCGGGTATCTATTACCCGGTACCGTTACCCCAACGCATTCATATGCAGTAACATGCTTGTATGCATGATATTTTACGCATCAAAGCCATAAAATTATTATTTATAGTAATATTGGTCAACATTCTGATAATTAAACAATTTTTCATCGCATTGCCAATGTATTTGTAAACAGGTGGTATTAGTGGAAAACCCTTTAACAAGCCTCACGTGTAAGTATTTTTGCGCATGCGCGCAAGGACGGAATCCCCCAGAGAAAACAAGGTCACGTTTTGACGACGCACAGGTGAAAGTGATTTAAAATGAGACTTTATATACGTACTGCCGAACTGACACTTAGATTATGTCTTGTTTATGTATCTGCTTGATTTGAAATGAATTTTTGAAGAATGCAAGTAAAAATCAAGCGTTTAAATGAAAAATACGGGTACTGCTTCTGTACGGGAACTGCTCGCATGCCAGTAAGCACATCTGCTACCGGTCGAATAATTTTGAATTGATAATTAATTATATGGTTAAATGAAAATAAATGCTTGTTTCTTTATTTGCTATTGAAATGATTTAATTATTTTATGAATATTCATTGAATATTTTCAGATGCTAAAGGTAAGATTGTGGGAGTGTTTATTGCTAGTTAACATTTATAACCTTGTTTGCTGTAGAATAACTTTTTAGCCTTTTACCTTTTGTGTTTGCTAATTTAACAAGTCACCTCTAACCTAAAACTGTTAACCTGAATACCCGACACTAAAATGTTTAGTTTCAACTTTTAGAGTTCCTTCCAGAATTTTCCAACAGATTGTAACACTTTCTTTTGCAGGTTTACTTCTCTTTTAACCATTTTAGGTAACACGCCTAAACTGATTTTTCTCAGAATTCATTGTGAATTTTTCCTTTCACTGTTTTGTGTTTTGACTAACAATTCAACAATATTTTTGTTGGTATGCAATAGTTTAGTCCTGAATTTCTCTCATTGTAAGTTTATTCCTGTATTAACCAGTGCCTTGTGAAAAATGTGATTTATTTTTAAAGTTTCCTTTTTCTCTTCTGAAATTAGTAAAATATTTTATACCAGAATCAACTTTAGTTATTCTGCTGTAAATGTGTACATGTATTATTTACTATTATATGTTGATTAATAGTATATACCTATAAGTATATCTGGTAAAAATGCAGTCATTTTCAACAGAAGAAATATGAAAATCTAGTTCTGTATTCAGTATTTTGTATTCACTGACTTAAGCCTGTGTAATATGTCCAACATATTGACAGATTGCGTTTGTATATTCCTGTGTTTCGGGTACCTGTTGAATGTCGAAGGGGAAACCCAAATTGAATGTAATTATTTCCAGTCCTGTCCTGTCAAAAAACCTCAGTGGAGTCCCTTTAACAGAAAAATTCCCCTTCTTTTCTTCAAAACAATGCAAATGTCATCTTCCATAGGGTCGCAACTTTTACATAATTGTGCATATACAAAATATGTTTATGCTGTAACGTTTTAACCCACACAAATCCTGTCAGTGAAAAGCTAGCTCACCACCAAGAGTGGTTTGTGTCCTTATATATGGGAAACATTCCCTTATGTTAATTCACCAACTTCAGATTTTGCATAATTATTATGATGCTCATTATCAGTATTTAGACATTCTACCAACATGATGATGTTACAATTAATGTTAATTGAGATCTTAGATAAATATAAGGTGGTATTAAGTAATTAAAAGGTCACTGGAAATCAGCTAAGCTTGGCCTGAGACCATCAGCTTGTTATGAGCTTGTGCCTGATACAGCACAGAAGGGGCACCTTCACTGGTAAAACTGGATCACCTTTATAGTGTTAGTGTGAAAGTAAATCCAAATCATAACAAAAACATTTTCCATTTTTGCTGTTTTTGAGCCTAATGTTGTTTTTGGTGTACCAAAATCCACTAAGGCAGAAAATATATTCTAGATAAAGACATTTTTTTATATAATGTTACCATATTTAGTTTGCTAATGCATAAAGTGTTTGAGCATGTTTTAATCAAATTGATTTTAATGGGAAAAGCTTCAAATATTCAAGTTTATATCATTTTTTTATGAATTGGCATGGACTGGTTTGAAATGTTTTACTTTTTCATTTGAATTGAGCATGGATCCTTTTGATTGGATAATAATTTTATTACCTGAATTGTTTTTTTTTGCTGTAATTTAATTTGAGTATTTTAATTGGATATTTGCTACAGCCTTACATTGAACTATAAAATTATGTGTGGTGGACCTCTCTGACCAAGTGGTTAATGTTGCTGTCCTCAAAACTCTTACCCCTCCCCACTGTGGTTCGAATTCCCTCAGTGACTTAAGACTTCATCAAGTGGGGATAGTCTGCTATTTTTACCAATGGTTCTACTAAGTCTACTAAGTTTGAGTTAATGCACAAAAGAACATAAATTAATACGCAAAGGAACATGAATTAATGCACAAAAGAACATGAATTAATGCACAAAGGAATATGAATTAATGCACAAAGGAACATGAATTAATGCAAAAAGGGGCATGATTTAATGCACGAAGGAACATGATCTAATGCACAAAGGAACATGATTCAATGCACAAAGGAACATGTTTTAATGCACAAAGAAACATAATTTAATGCACAAAGGAATCTGAATTAATGCAGAAAGGGACATGTTTTAACGCACAAAGGAACATGATTTAATGCACAAATGAACATGAATTAATGCACAATGGAACATGATTTAATGCACAAAGGAACATGATTTAATGCACAAAGGAACATGAATTAATGCACAAATGAACATGAATTAATGCACAAAGGAACATGATTTAATGCACAATGGAACATGATTTAATGCAAATTAGAACATGATTTAATGCACAAAGGATTATGATTTAATGCACAGTAGAACCTGAATTAATGCACAACTGAACATGAATTCATGCTCAAAGGAACATGAAGTCATCATATGATATGACTTTTACACAACCAGTGTGATTTTAAAGAATACAAAAATGAAAAAAAAATGTCATGTGATGTTTGCACACCAGGTTTTCTTTTACATATTTGTCTTTTTAATTGCATACATTTACAATAAAATATACAAGAAATATATTGTAAAAATTTAGTTTGCTAGATTTATTATAGCTTAGATTCATATAATATTATTAGGTTTACTACAACATTGCAATTTAAAATTCCAAAATAATTGCTGTAAATGGACTAAATCTAAATATAAAGTATTTTAAGTCTAATTTATATAATATAAAAGACAATTGCTGAGTTGAAATATTTTGTAAATCTCAACATGGCTGTAATTAAAGCTGTGATCTCTACAAACAAATTCAATGTGAACTGATTTTTTTCAATATGTTTAACTTTCAAACAAAAGTTCCTTTGAAATAACTGTTACTTATTAATGTTGTTTTATAATTGGCTTTACTAGAATAATTTGTATCTGGCTTTTTTTTATGGAATTATATATATATATAGATTTATTTCATGTAGATTAAGATTATTAAATAATTGCGCATGATTGTATTTGTCACATTGTTTGATAAGTGTTTAAACTCGATTAATGTTCTAACATTTGATAAATGAAATATTTTTTTGAAAATCTGGATATGAAAATTTAATCTGGACACCCAAAAGTGATTTCAAATGTCCGGATATCTGGTTTTGAGATGGCATGGCATTCCTATAATTTATTATTAATTTATGTATTGATGATGTATATTTCAGCATGAACATAAGCCAAACGGTAGAGCTACACACAACGGTCACACCCATATGCACGGTCACGTGCACAATGCTGCTAATCCCCATCAGCATGTTGCTCCCGTAGCTTGGATGATAATCTTTGGCGACGGACTTCATAACTTTATTGATGGTGTATCTATTGGGGCTGCATTCACAGAGAGTATTCTGGCGGGTGTTTCTGTTTCCGTGGCAATATTATGTGAAGAGCTTCCTCATGAATTAGGTTAGATTATTATGATTTGTCAATTTTTTATTTTTTTTTCTGAAGTTATTACTTTGTCCACCCCAAAGAGAGGGCATGGGATATTTGTGTTCCCTACTAAGTTTAGTAGACGTGGCATATAGGGATCACTTCTCCATCGTCTGTCCATCATCACAAAACTTGTCCACACTACTCTTTAGAAACTACTGGTGCAAATTCATCCAAACTTTACTGGAATAATCAGTCTAGTAGTGCATATTGCGGGCATTTTTTAATTCAATGATTTTTGTCAGAGTTATGACCCTAAAAATAGTTTTATTTGTTTTAAGTTTGTCAGGACTACTCCTCTTTTACCACTGATTTCAATGAAGCTTTACGGGATTAATTGGTAGCTCAAGTCCTTGAGCATATTAAATGGGTTTTCTTGTTGGATGATTTTGACTGAGTTATGTCCCTTGAATGAAAAATCATCTTTTGGCCTGTTAATTATTTTTGTGTCTCCTGCTACACAGTCCCGTAACTTGCAATTGGCTATCATCTGGGGAGACATGTGATCACAGATCGCTCTTGTTTAGTAAAGGGTTAGCTGGTTCAATCTAAGGATGAGATGAAATTTTTCCATGATAATTGATCTCAAATGTCCAGTCTTATGGTCACTTACCTCTCATGGCTAATTCAAAACCAGGAAAGCCTGTTCGGTGGACCAACCACCAAGGTAATATAAAATTGATGTAAAACCAGAACCAAAAAAAACGTAGGATATTTGTCACGCTAGTTCTAAAGTAGCCTTAGTGTTCTCTGGATAAGCTTTAGAGTTACATTTTCATTTGTATCTTCATTTTATAAACTTCTGTAATTAATAAATAAAAAGTCTGCCAATATGAGAAAATAAAAGTTTCCATGCATTTTGTTAAAAAACCGTACTGTCCTATCTAACAATAATTTTAAACATTCACATCTAAAAATGCTGGCTACTTTTAATTTATACGCAAATTGTAATCATAAGATTACGCAAGATTGTAATTGAAAAAAATGACTTACTTTAATTTATAATTACAGCAATTTACTTGCATTTTTACTTTAGTTTTTTGCATGGCTATCAATATTTTAAGAATAGAATCTTGGTCATTTTGCCATGTTTTTATATGTATGCAAATAAGCATTTGTTCACAGATTACCATGGTACCCACCAGGACGCATAACAACAGGGACTACTTTATACTAATATTAATTTTATTCGCTTAATATATTTCAGGGGATTTTGCTGTGCTGTTGAATGCAGGGATGAAGATTAAGCGTGCAGTTTTATATAATTTCCTGTCAGCGTGTATGTGTTACCTGGGATTGGTAGTTGGTATCTTTCTCGGAGAAAATACCGCAGCTCATACTTGGGTGTTTGCTTTTGCAGGCGGCATGTTTTTGTACATAGCATTAGTTGACATGGTAAGGAAAAAAGAAATTTTGTCAAATTTTGCTTTTATTGCGGTTAATTTATAATACGAGTAATGGCTTAAATAAATTGAAAGGTGTATGCCCCTTAGAAAACAATTTCGAGCATTTTCTTTTCTTTGTGCTAACCTGTGTTTGATTTTATGATTTAATATAGCTGAAATAAAAGTTTTATCTTACTTACTAATAAGAATATCAGTGAGTGTCAAATGATATACACTGGGACCTTTAATGAAAACTTTGTTTTTGAACTGGAAAATAAAGTACAGAATTTTGTTTGTTTTATAGTTATACAATTCTAAATTTGAACGGTTAAAATTGTTTTATAGTTGACAATTCTAAATTTGAATGGTTAAAATTAAATGTGTTTTTAAATTATCATAGTGAACATTTATATAAATTATGCTGAATTTTGTATTTGGTTTCCTTATCTTCATGATTTCCTGACCTTGGCCTACTTTTTCATTTGTCAATGACCTTGACCTATGACCTTTGTTGTTAACAGATGCCAGAGATGAACACTGCAGGTGAATCAGAGGAGAATAAAAAGCTAATTGGTGAAGGACAGATATTTCTTCTACAGAATCTTGGACTAATCACCGGATTTGCCATCATGTTTATCATGGCAGTGTATGGAGGTGACCTTGAGGCAACAATTAAAGGTGAAGGTCATTAATGAGGTCATAAAGAGATTAGAATTTTGTGTGATATACTCTGTAGTCATTTAAGGAATTGTTTGTGTGGGATTATGTATAATAATACAATATAGTCATAAATATGAGTTTCTGATTTGAATTATATATATATATATTTTTTTGTTATATTCTCTTTGATATAAAATTTGACGTGATAAGTTAATGGGGCAAAAATCCATTTTAAAGAAAAAGGAATTTTTATTTTTTCATATTATTTAAGTTAACCATTTTTCTCGTAGATGATGCGATTTTGTTTTACATCTTTCTAGGGGGATGAATTTGTTAAGATTTTTATTTCTTATTGATATATTTATAGTGGTTTTTGTTAAGCATTTGACTATTTCTACTTAAGGGATCACGATATGTACTGCCATTGAAAAATGAATATTGTGAACATTCAATAAGTTTTTGAAATATATTTTATCATTTACTTTTTTTTATAGTCATTTTTAACTTGTCTTTTTCTAAGAAAAAATAATTTTTCTCATATTTATTGTTAATGAAGCAATATGAATTAAAAAATATTGTACAAATTTCAAGTTTTAGAGTCAATCCATAAATCAGTTATATGAAATTACACAAAATAATGTTATTTCTTTCATTTGTTATTCTTATAATAAAATTTTAAACCTTACTCTTATTGATCCCTCGTGTCATAGTTATGTTAAAGGGATTCCATATATTTTTGTGATTTATTTTCTATTTTATGTAGGTCTGTCTGGTTTGATAATTTGTGTGAAAATTTTATATCATATAGATTCTAAATCTTAAATCAGTTCACTCAATTTCAAGATTATTATATTGAATGTAAAAAATGACAAAAAAAAAATGAAAACAACTTCAATTGGGCTAAAAATGTGTGAAATTAATGTTAAAAATCAGATTGAAAAGCTGATGCATACTGACCATATGGAAATATTTGTTTTGATTATAAATTTATTTATATTTAGTCAATGCACACAAGATGTTGTATTTTACATTTCATAAATGAATTTTAAAACCTTAAAGATTTGCATTAGAATCATTTGACAATGGTTGGTTCAGTAAGTGAAAATTTTACTGATATAACTGTAATGGCCAAATATTGTACAAAAAAAATAAATAAATGTATCATATTTATGTATAAAATATTATCAACACCTTGAGTTCAGTCTTTAGAGTGCAATATCCAACTTTAACTGACATATTTGCCAATTATATGCTATCTACAGTTCATTTTTCAATACCGTTGCTCAACTAGTAAAGTTTGAAAGCTAAAATAAAGACTTTATTATTATTATTATTATTATTATTTAATAATTGTGGATTTGTTAAAAAAACAAAACAAGAGGGCCATGATGGCCCTGAGGTCGCTCACCTGTATATAGTCCCCCAACCCCCCCCCCCCCCCCCCAATGTTGCAGGGTCAATTTAACCCAAGGGCTTTTATTTGCACAAACTTGGTAGACACCCATAAGAAAATGTTTCATGCTAAACATCTAAGCTCTAGCTCATTGGGCTTTTTAAAAGAAGATTTTTTAAAGTTTTTACTATACACATATAGTTAAAAACAATGACACCCCTGGGGTCAGGCCAGTTTTGACCCCAAAGCTTTTATTTGAACAAACTTTGTAGACACTTACTAGAAGATGGTTCATGCTTAATATCTTAACTCTAGCTATTTGTTTTTTTTCAAAGAAGATTTTAAGTTTTTGCTATACACATATAAAGAAAATCAATGACCCCCGGGGCGGGGCCAATTTTGATCCCAGGGCTTTTATTTGAACAAACTTTGTAGACACTCACTAAAAGATGTTTCATGCTTAATATCTAAACTCTAGCTATTTGGGTTTTTTCAAAGAAGATTTTTGCTATACACATATAAGGAAAATCAATGTCCCCCTGGGCGCTGCCAATTTTGACCCCAGGGCTTTTATTTGAACAAACTTGGTAGACACCTATTAGAACATGTTTGATGCTAAATATCTTAGCCATAGCTTTTTGAGTTCTTTAAAAGAAGATTTTTTAAGTTTTTACTATATGCATATAGGGAAAATCAATGACCCCCCGGGGCGGGGCCAATTTTGACCCCAGGGCTTTTATTTGAACAAACTTGGTAGACACTCACTAGAAGATGTTTCATGCCAAATATCTAAGCTCTAGCTCTGATGGTTTTTTAAAAGAAGATATTTAAAGTTTTTTCTTTCGGTTGCCATGGCAACCAGAGTTCTGCATGGAATTAAATTCTTTGAACAATTTTTAAAGTTGACCACCAAAGGAACATTCCTGTGAAGTTTGGATGAAATTGGCCAAGTGGTTTATGAGGAGATGTCATTTAAAGTAAAAGTTTACGGACGGACGGACGACGGACGGACGCCGGACGAAAAGCGATCACAAAAGCTCACCCTGTCACTTTGTGACAGGTAAGCTAAAAAAAAACACATATAGTTTCTCATATGGATGGATATCAACATTTTCAAAAGTAGTCTCCCTTTTGTACAAATCTGGTAAAATCAGGTAAAAGTTATTTCCCTTTACTTAATAAACTCCATTTATACCTGTTGAATGCTATAGGCATGAAACTCTCCAGAAGAACAATTAAAATAAAAAGATTGATACCTTTATCATTCATTTATATATTTTCTCATATGGTTAGTTCATGTTGTAAGAATAAATAACCAGAATATAATTTATACACCCACCCAGAAATTCCATATCAGGTCTTGTTATTCCCAATTATAATGGTATAAATGTTCTTATGTATATTATAGCATAAAATCGGCTATTTTTCCCTTTTTTGCCCATGTTATAACGGGGCCAAAACCATGCGTTAACATAGTCACGCGCTCTTGTTATAGCCCGGTTTTACCTATGCGCAATACATAGAGGGCCCAGTAAACAAACAAAAAATGACGATTTGGCCTGTTTGCCAGAGTAATGCGCTTTTGTTATATTGGAATTATTAATTCGAGGGCCTCAGTCGCATAACGGCGAGCAGCATTATAGTAATTATGCCGGCAATACGGCATATAGACATCGCCGCTTATCTTGGTTGTCGCCCTTCCTTAGAAAAGGACAGTTGTCAGTGTAAACAAATAGAATCTGTCATTCAGTTTAAAATCCCCCGATTAACTTACAAAAATGGAAAGCACAAAATGAATATAAGAAAACGTTGTTTTATTGAAGTTTATATTGATAAATGTTCTGTATGTTTCTTTGAGAGAATAATGTTTTATGCCTGATTTTTTTTAAACTTGCGTGCTTAAAAAAAAACCGATTCTGAAATTGAATCTGATGTCACTGATCTTTTTCCTACCGCCAATCTGTAATCATTCTAGGAATTTCTGAGGCACCTGTTTTGTCTTGGGTAGAGTAAGGTTATGTTTTTCTTAAGTTATTATATCTCCAAAGTTAAACTTTGTTAAATCAATTAAAATTTGAAATTTCGTTCATTTCTCAATTTGTTGGCCCCGGAAAAAATAAAACGCATACTTAAAACATGTAGAGTTGGATAAATACCGTTCAAGCACAAGGATTTAATGTTTGTGTTTTATATAAAATATACATCATGAATCTGTTTTAAAATTTTATGCTATAATAGCGTCAACGCACGTTTATTTCGTGTTATAAAGTCTGCAGAGTCCCTCGGAACTGTTGGAGCCCTCGCCCTACCGGGCTCGGGCACCAATCGTTCCTCGGGACTCTGCAGACGTTATAACACAGAAAAACGTGCGTTAACCCTATATAAAAAAAATGTATCCATCACATTGAAATGATGTGATTAAATTGTTTATGACAGAATATGTTCTTAATAAACTTTTGTACATATTTGATATATATTAATATTTATCATTTCTGTTTGTACATGTAAGTATGTGTAAATCAGTTTGACGTTTAAATAATTTTAAAAAAAGATTCCATGTTTTTGTTTCATTATTTTTTTATATGTTTTGAGTTGATTTTAATTATTATTTATGGTCTAATTATGTTTTGTAGATTTTTTTTCTTATTCTTTGTTTTTGGAAACTGTATCCATTTGTCTTGTGAATCATTTATATATACATGTGGACAACATTATGTGTGAATCTGATGTTCAACCCTTACCATCATAAATGGACTAGTCCAGCTTGCAATCTGAACAAAACCATTCCTCATTTTTAGGGGAAATATTCAAAATGAAAATAATGTTATGGGACCTGATTAGATATCAAACTACATTTGTAGTTTAGCCCACCCTGGAACTGTATTATCCCAAACAAACTTACCATGCACTTACCGGATAATATGTAAGGTCAAACACCTGATATTCAAAAGTACAAATCCCTGATATTCCAAGGTCAAACCTCTGATATTCCGTGTTCAAAACCCCAATATTACAAGGTCAAACCCATATTATTCCAAGGTCATCTTTAAACTCATAATTTTTCAAGGTCAAATCCCCAATATTTCATAGTTATGCCCCTGATATTATTAGGATATCAGTAACTCAAATATCAAATGGTTGATTGTTTTAGTTCAAGGTTAAAATCTGTCTAGAAGGTCAAAGGTCTTTGATTAAATTAAGTTCATAGGAGTCTAAAAATTATTTTACTGAGATTGTCTTTTTCCCTGAAACCATTAATAACTTTCTTTATTCACATTTAACATGTGTTGAACTTGTGTGAGATAGATTGTTATTACTGTCTAGCATGTTAATTTGCCATGCAAAAGTGTTTTAGTAAAGAACCTACTTGTATGTTATTGAAGTTGTTAATGTTCAAATCCTGTATTAAAAACTTACTATATTTATGAATATTATGATATCACATGCAGTAAATTTGTACATGTATTTAATTATTTTTAGTATAATTCTTACAAATGTTGTTGTATTTTGTTAAAGGTGTGAAAATTCTTAACTAGTCATAGAAGAATAATTATGTTATATTGATTGTTTTTAGAGTTAATAACCCTGACAATCCTAAATTTCTAAAATGGACTTGTCCTGGTTTGAATGTGGAATTGTCCATTTTTAATGATCGGGTTTTTATAGTAAAATGCCAGAATGAAGCAGTCGACAGTAGAGATGGGTCAGACTTCACGAATATGTGTAGTCTTTATTTCTGTAGTCTGACCCACACTGTCTGCTGATGGGGTAGATAAGTTATTCCTAATAGAAGTATTCAGTGGGTTAATAATCATTTATTTTTTGTAGCTTGATTTTTTTTTCTATAGTTTTGATCTCAAGATTTATTAGTAAATTAAATAAATCCATATTTTATTTCATGACATATTTACATTTTATAACTATTGTACTATGGATTAGATCACAGTTACTGTAGCATTTTTTTTTTCAAGCAATTTTGTCTCTCATGATTGTTGGATGGAATATAGCCAATACTTTTGGACTCATGTACAGACTCATTCAAACCGAGTTTGCAATTTTTTCGTGTAATTTTGTTGCAATAAATGCTTCTAAGGGATCACTTTTACCCAGAATTTGGATTTTGTTAAATGTGGAAGCTTAATCCAGCTGGCTTACAATAAAGTGTTGCCTGAAGTTGTCCTCCATTCAGAATAAAAAATGGCAAAATTGCCATTTGATTTTAAAGCAGCACGTCTCCAAATTCATGCTAATTTTCATGAATTTTTTTTTTAATGTATTTAAGAGTAAAATATTGCGAAGTGAATAAAGACTTTAATTAATTCATTGCAAAATTTATTAATGGCACTTGCAAGTCATGTAAATTACCAAAAATAGCTCTTACTGTTTCAGTAATGTAGTAGAAATATGGTGATAAAAACTACAAAATTAGTTATTTAGCTGGCGTATAACATGTAAATTATTACTTGAATCTTGAGTCACTTTTTTCTTGTCTTAATATCTTAGTACATTTTGCTCAAGTTTGATTTTCTAAAATATTTTGGCTTATCTGGCGGCATGCAGCTTTAAAAGTGCCATGTGAATTACAACCAAAACCCCCAACAGGAGGAAAAATGTTATGTATGTAAATAAATGGTAACATATCAATAGGTCTGAATTCACATTATTATACAAGATATTGCTAAATTAGTTCAAATATGTATTGTATTGTCAAATACGTGTAAAGGGAGCAAACTCTATCTCATTAATTAAATTTCAAAGAAAGTCATGTCATAATTGAATATACTCAAATATCCCAGAACAGATTGTAGATTATCATCATAAAACATTTAGAAATGTATTAACACACACATATATATTAAAAATTCATAATTATTTTTTAAGGAGATACATCCATGACAGATATTTGTAACATAAGTAATCTATAATGCTCTTCTAATGGTC